TTGGATGAGACTTCAAAATTTTGGACCAGATTCTAAGTGCATTTTGACACATGAAGAAATTGTGTTTAGCTGTGTGCACCACGTAGCAGCAGTGCAGAGGGGACTGATGTGTCCTCAGTGGGCTTGGCCTAGTATCTGGACATTGTAAAGAAGGCCAGAAAATCCGGTGTATTGAAAATGCATCAGGTATGCTTAATGGGAGCAGTGTATCTGCCTAGGATCTCTAGACATTTAGCAACCCAGCTGGAACTCTACCAGGACTCCAGGTATTTGCAAGTCCCAAATGAAAGGCCAGATTTCTCTTTTTCACCCAGATGTTATTTTTGATAGAAAAAGAGGATATGTTCAGGGGAACCTGGCCGTATATTATGAGTAGTAAGGCAGCTTGTTCAAATACAGAATTTAAAATCAGCAGGAGCTAGAAGTGTCTGCACGTCAGGAAACCCCGTAAAATGCCTGTTCACATTTTCAGGTACCTAAGGCCCAGGTTTCAAAGCAGAGTATTTGATTCTTCTCTGGGGTTATCCTTCCCAAATTGAGAGGGATCTGGGATCTGCTACCTTAGGCAGGAGGGAGTCTCAGCCCAGCCACTGCTCTGGCAAGGCAGCAGCTCCAGTTCCAGTGAGATCCAGTGTTCAGCCCAGAGGTGGGAAAGGAGGTGGGAAAGGACGGCCCACCCAGGTCACCCCCCTGCGTACAGTGGAGATGCCTTTGGCGCCTGGCCTCTTGGTGTTGTGTTGGCTGCATGGCATGGCAGGGTCCCGACTGATTGTCTGAGCTGCTGGCGCTCCGAAATCTCTCGGTGTGCAGCACTAGCTGAGCTTGAGTGGCAGTCCACTTAATGCAGGGGAAAGGTGTCTGTGCTTCTTACAGTCACATCAAAATTACCTGCTTATTGTGGAATTTGTCTCCACTAACTTGTGCTGTCTAAATATTCAGTGACTTGTCCTGGCTGGTTTTATGCTTCTTTTACAGTCAGTGGAGTGAAGTAGATTCCCCCAGTGGATGATTCATCTCCCCTGGTTTAGGCTTTAATATTAGAATAGGATAAATGACCCCGTGGAGATGCATTTCACAGAGAGTTTTAAGCACCTCCAGCTAGCCGAGATGAATGCCAATCCATGGTGTCAGGAGAAGCCAAGTTAATTTTCCACCCTTCGCTGCCTTTCCCACCCAGGCCTCCAACCACCACCACCACCACTGAGAGACACTTTAAAAATTTCAGCTGGTGCATGCCTGAGCTGACCCCACGTTTCAGCTGAACTCGTGCCCGTGGATCATGCAGAAGAGTGGCTGAGTTAGGAAGAGAGATGCTGCACCAGCACTGTGAACTGGCAGCCCCCTGGGAAGCTGCATCCTGGGTTCCGCCTGCTGGTAGTTCCCAGGTTTCTGCCTTTTGAGGAAGAAGGGTTGTTTCATTCTAGCCTGGAGTAAATAGTGACTGAAATACTCAACAAAGACAGCCCCAGCTAGAGCTGTGGTTCTCAACCTGTGCTCTGGAAACCCTGGGGGTCCGTGGATCACTCCTAAGGTAACTAAGAATAATTCAGTGAAAGGTAACTTCAAAAACCATGTTTATTGCCAGTAGATTAACTCCCTCTGTAAAGGAGCATGTCTCTCCTGAAAAACATTTGGAGGCTGCCGTGCATAAAGGTTGAAAACCACTGAGCTGGAGTAATGTATCTTTATATGTGATAATTTGACAGCTAAAGGGCTAAAGCTATTCAACTGTACCTTTATGAAGAATGCCTGGAGAATTGAATAGAATGTGATAAACTTTGTGTTGGCATTTTTGATCCAGTCTGTGAAACTGAATAACTGAAGGGATTCTATAGAAAATACTCCACAAATGTACAAAATAAAAGGAGAATGAAATCCTTTTCATAAGGGTTCCAGCTGATCACATAGAATCATGATCCTGCTGTAGGCTGTAGTTATTCTGTACTCTGTTTAAGATTTAACCCTGACAAATGGTATAGAATTATAGGCTAATTTTTGTGAAACAACAGGTTTCATCCCTAGTACCTATGTGATGACTTTAGTTGTAGGTGTATGTTGAATTTAATTTAAGATCTATGTAAATAATTTCTACAGAATGAAGAATTGCACAGATACTCAGGATTTCAGGTTTCCCTACCAGGGTAGATTTGAATCTAGATACCCAGCTTTGACAGACCCCTAGGACAGCACAATTTTATCACACCACCATAGACTTCTCGTCTATGATTGTTTGATCATTGATACAAGAAACTCAATACTTGTTGATACAAGAAACTCCTCCAAATGTTTATAAACTTTTCACTGCATTTAAGAACACAGGGCAGGAGTTACCAAGCAAATTGATTCCCCTCATGGTTACACATGGTAACTTTTTTTAGAAGTGTTTTGGGGTTTTTTTCCTCCCACATTGATTGAGTTTTACTTGATTTTGTCAGTATTAGTTCACCTTTATTTGAACTGCTGGATAATTCATTTGTAGAAGAGGCAGAACATTTAGGTACTTCCATCTGTGTTTAAACAAGGTTCTTGTGCTTTCCCCATTAAAAAAAAAAAAAAAAAAGTATTATAATGCTTGTGGTAGATGAGGTTCTGAATTTAACTCCCTCCTATTCGTTTCTCTTAACAACTCTGCATTATCAGCACCTGGGGTTTCTAGTTTACTCTGTCTTTGCAAATATGAATTTTCAAGGAGTTGATGGTAAGTAGCATGGTTCTAATTTGCACTTGCGAAGTGTGTCAGACAGTTTCATCTAGTGCATGGCGAGCAGAGGAAAGCCTGTCTTCCTCTGCAAACAGCCCTTAGAGGATGTCAGAGAGCGCATTTGGCTGCGATGGTCACTTGCAATATGGTTTTGAAATGAGCTGTCCAGGAGCTGCTGGAGGAAGGGATGCCTGCACTCCTATGAATCCACTCTTTGTTTTTCTCCCTTGTCTTTCTCCTGTTTCTACTTGTTTTCGTGCTTCTGGGCTGTCACTTCAGTGTGCTTTTGGGTGAGTCTACTTTGGTACGCTAACAAAAGTTCTGTGGACTCATTTGGATGAAACATTTGTGACAGTCATATGTTTTGCTAGGACTGTACCCAGTGATATAGGCAGCCCTTTCCAGCTTTCCCTTCATTACTCGCTCTCCATCTACCTGGCACTTTATAGCTTCATCCATCCCTCCTGTCCTCCTAGTGCCTTCCAGACATCTGTTGAAATCACTCTTCCCCATGGTATCTGAGTACCTTCTGCACATGACTGTCCTCAGAGCAGGAATCTTGTCCATAGTTCATGAGTGCTTATAAAGTCTTTTCTTAATCCATTAATAATCTAGAAGTTTAAGCCCGGGTGATATTTGAGTGCGTGGCTCAACATGCAACAGGCTGGACTGTGGCCACCCATGTCGCGCTCAAGCAAAAGGGCAGAGGATTTATGGTGATACCTCACCTGTGCCCTTGCTCAGGAGGTACAGCCAGTATTCCTTTCTGCATCCCCATAAATCACCAGCGTTCCAGTAGTGTTAAGTTTCCTCTAACATGTCCCATTTCTCTACTACACCACAGTAACTAGCCTTACACCCTCTTCCTCCCCCTAAAGCCCATCTTTCATCACACACTTGCCCAGCACCCTCTGAGGAATTCAGAATGAGTCATGCAGGGTGCCTCTGGGGACTCCTACTGATGCAAACTTCCTCCTCCTCAGGGCAGCCTGTGGTTTGAATGCCACAATGCAGCCAGTACTTGTTAGCTTGAGCTTTTGCTGTGAAGTTGATGGCAAAGCTTGGTCTCTGACTGGGACACCCCCAACTTGCCGCCTTTCTTCACCAGGCTCTGGTGTAGGAGGGGAGACTCTCAGCTCATCCTCTTTGTAGTGTCAAACATGGGAGCTGCTCAGAGCCTTTCAGAGTGCCAGTCAATAGGCAGTGAGAGGTTTTTTGGAGAAAGGGGTTATCATTCATTCTTAAGGTGTATTTCAGTCCAGGCAGGAGACTAGCATCCACACATGAAGTGTTATGTGCATGTTTATATGTAAAATGAAAATCCCCCAGTCCTTGGGGTGGAATAGACTTTCATTGCAAGAGCTTTACTTGCAGTCTGTCATCACCTGCTTCCAGAGTGTGCATTCACAAACATAAGATGTGATGAACAGGGCTTATTTCTGGTTTTGTTCAGGCTTTCCCCCTAATAAGCTATTGTCTTTAAAACATTATCTACCTTCTCCCTCTTCACATGGAAAAGAAAAATGCTTTTCTGGTGGTAATTACACAGTGCCGCGTTGTGGACCTTTCATCCCATTACAGTAAGTGGACAAACTACTGTCATTTACAAGAATAAAATAGGTGAAGAAATGAGAAAGTTTCTAGCACTCCCAGGCATAAATGTCAAGCTGACATGGGAGAATAAGTCTTACAGAAAGGAAGTTTTCTTGCTAGCAATGAGTGCTGGTGCAGTTGTGCTTTGACACAGGGATTGAGGAATGCCTGCTCCTCCTCGGATGTTTAAGAAATAGAAGAATCAGGTAGTATTAATGGAGGGCTACAGACCCTTAACCTGCCTCTGCCCTTGCAGTTCAACTGAGACATGCTTCAGCTCTTCTTTGCTCCCAGTTTCGAAACCTCTTCGGTCTGTGTACTGCTTTGTCATGGATCTGTTAGCAAGGTCAGGGTTTGAACACATTGAGATGTTTTTCTCCAGCAGAAGTTTGCTGCCTTATTATTCCCCACCTCTGCATACACATCTTTTACATCTCTCAAAGCAGATTGATGGTCTTATTTGCCTGTTTTTTTTCTCATTTATAGTGATTCTTCATGGGAGGTTTACTCTCACGGGAGGTTTGCCCTGAAGGTGTGATTGCAGGAGTAAGGTCTTTACCAATGCATTGGCAAAAATGTATTTACACATTGCTAGGGACGAGCTGTCAGTTGGGTAGCAGAGCTTCTTTATTCCTTTGGTAGACTTGCTTGTGGGTTGTGGACTAGAGGTTGAGTGGCTTGCTCTTATCTCCCTTTTCATATGCAGTTTTTGCCAAATGTTGGGACACGGGTGGGGTGTGTCTCCCTTTCTCCCACCTTCAGTGGAAGGTGAGTTTAGTATGCTTGGAGGTCCAGAGAAATGGGTGGTTGAAGTTCCTCTCAAGCCACTGGCCCGGGTTGGTTTAGCAGCAATTTATTGCCGCCACCTGCTGACCAGGCAGAGGATTTCTCTGGCCCGGGCAGAGCTTGTGCGTGGGGTGTCCCCATGAACCCCCACCGCTCCCTCCCCTGTCCAGCAGTCCCAGCAAGAGGATGATGGGGCAGTGAGTCGAGGTCAGGGTGTCTGCATAAAGCAGGAACACCTGGGGACAAATACAAGACTGGTTGTTTAGGGAAAGGTGGCACATGCTTTAGCGTGAAGACAACCATCAGTGAGGACTGAGTTGGTCTGACGTTGGGCTGCTGTGAACTTACAGGTTATCAACCGGATCGCGGGTGAGATCAAGCCTGGTGCAGGAAGTTTGGATGAGATATAACCTCATATAACTATAGTGTTAAGTGCAACAGCAAAGAAATACTGTCGAACTGTATGTCTTCACTTCAGTGCATCTCTGTATAGGAAGGAATGAAAATCAGGTACTCTTTTGGAATAAAGGAAAATAGAGAGGCAAGAAATTTTACCTAATCCTGAACTCCTGAAATTCAAGTTTGCTCTTCTCTGATGTAATGAAAAGACTTAAGGGTGATCTTCAGTGTTCAGAAACTGTTTCACATTGTTAGCTCTTTAACAAAGATGTCCTTCCACACTGGTGTTTTTGGACGTGGGATTTAAATAAGAGGTAAACCAGACAAACAGGTACAGACAGAAGGATGTATGACGCCTATTAGGATAGTGTCACTGCATTAAATTTTCATTTGGTGGCCAAATTGCGGGAAGCAGTGTCACTTGCTGTGAACCTCTTTCTTCCCCGACTGCTGGAGTGCTGCTGTGCCTGGGGCACTGGTGCAAGGTTACAGGGCTGCTGTGGTGGGAGCTGACCTCTGAAACTCTCGGGAATCCTGGCCCGTTTTCTGCCCTTTAATGAGCCGTGTGTAACATTTGCCTTCTTTGGGGTCACTCCAACCTTTCAACCAGCAGTGGTTAGGAGCAGAGCCAGGGACAGGGACACCTCCGTATTTTGCTTTGATCTAAGTGAATTCTTACAGGCCCTACGCTGCCCCGCCGGCCCGCCCGCCCGGTGCCCCGCAGTACGGCCCTCCGCAGCCCCACGGGCCCGACTATGGCTACGCCCCGCCGCCCACCCGGCCCTCAGAGCCCGCCTACAGCTATGCACCTCCACAGGGCCGCTACCAGGACCCCTACTACGGGGGGTATGGGGGGAGGAATGGCTCCGAAGCGCCCTATGTGCCACAGAGCTCCTGGAAGGCCGAGCCAGCGTATCCTGCTAGTAACACCATGGGCCAGGCTCCTCCTGGGCTCTACCAGCCGCCCAGCACGAAGAAGACCTACATCACCGACCCGGTGCTGGCCCCGCAGCCGCCTGCGCTGCAGCAGAAGGTAGGAGATGTGGGCGCTCGCCAGCCTTCCTGGGGGAGTGGAGTTCACTGAACGGGCCCTGGGACCCTCCCTGCAAGGGGGTGTGGGGGATTAAATGGTTCCTGCAGAGTCCTGAGGCAGGCATGCCTCCATATGGCTTCTTAAAAGCTGGAAATAGACAACTCTAGTCTTGTTTGGAAAAAGAGGCTTTTGTAAGGGCTTAGAAACACCATCGGCCACCGTCAGCGAGACAGTGTCACCCTGCGGGCAGGAGGGAGGTTGCGTCCCTCTGACATGCCGCTGCCCGAGGACTCGCTGGCCACACCTCCATGGGGCACTGCTGCACTTGGCCTTCCCTTCTGGGCCCTTCCATGATCAAAGGAGAGGTTGGGTGTGAGCTCCCGCTCTATGTGCCTGTGGACACCTTTGGTTCGCCGGACAAAACCTTCCCCTTCTCAGACAGATGGGAGGTATGCTAGAGGCTGGGTTTGATTGTGGTTCAGAGCGATTGCGGAGGTTGACCTCTGGCGTGTCGCTGTTCAAAAAACACTTATCACTGAAACCACATGGAAATGAGTTCCCACAGAGCTCAGCTCTGATTTTCCTCTTGAGTGATGGTATGCTGGGTCGCCTCCATCTGCTTGAACTGGTGCCCGGACCTCATAAAGCAAAGCCAATTTGAAATAGTTAAACCAGTCTGCCTGGTTTCTCTGCCCAAACTTTGACCCTGGCTGGCTTTTGTCGCTTCTGCTGGTGGCTGTCTCTAATGTGGCTCTGGGGGAGACACAGGCACTTCAGCTTTGTGGGGTCCTCGTAGTGTATGACAAGCGTAGGGTCCACTGAAGGGTGAGGACAGGCAAGCCCAGGTGGGTAAGCAGTGAAGCCATCGCTGCCCAGGCCCACCCTGCTTGTGTCAACACATCCCTGCTCTTCAACTTGTGCCTGCTTGCGGGGGAAGAAGCTTCTGACATGTAACAGAAAGTCTGTCCTTTTGGCATTTTCCTTCACTAGCATCACACAGACTGTTTTGCCTGAATTCCAGATTTCCTGACAGTGGGAACTTTTGAAGGTAAAGATGTTTCTCCAGGCAGTTTAGAGAGGGCAATAAATTACAGAAGTCCTTGAAATATTATCTACTAACAGTTAAGAAACTGCTTTTTCTCTTTTCTTTCCCTTCCTTACCAAGAAGCTAGGAGTGGGGAGAGAAGTAATAAACTCTCAGCTCCGCAGGTACTTTGTATAGAGCTTAAATTGGAAAACAGTGAAAGACACAAAATTTGCACATAGCCTTAACTGGTGTAAATCGTTGTGGTTCCAGTGGAGTTACTGAGGAAATGCTGAGGTACAGCAGATCCATATTTAGACTTTTATAGATACAAGTAGGCTTATATATATAAAAAATTCAAAAACTTTAGTTCAGTCAGCATCTCTATGGAAACACAAATCATCTCGAACCACAAACAGCACAAGCCTGTTAGTCTCATTTGCATTACAAAGCTGGGGGGACAATTTAATTTAGCTCAAGTTTGGGGTTTCATGTATGCATATATATATTTTTGTATATATGTTTGTGTGTGTGCACGTGGCATTTGCAAATACGCATGCAGAAATACTTCATATATATCACTTTTAAAATAATTTCAGTTCTCCTACAAAACAGACTATTATCTGCCTGGTGATAAATCCCGCCAGAACCTTCATTCCCTTCCAGCCTGCTAAATATCTGCATATCTATTTCACTTTTGAATTTACAATTCTTCTCTAACTTATTGGTTGCAGACTCTGCTTGATTGCTGCTTTGTAACATATATAGTTTAAGTGGTGAAGAATTGAAGGTTACTTTACAGTCTTAACAGGAAATGCATGGTATTAAAACGACAGTTGACGCAGTGTTGTCCACTTTTACTGCATGCTGTTCTCTTCCTTTGGAGACCAACTCATTCATAAAATCAACTTTGAAATTAATTTTATTTACAGGGAAAAAAGGTAGGCTACGTTAGAGCCAGATATCTGACAAGGAGAATTGTCACTGTAATTTGACTTGTTTGTTGCCACGTAAATTTTAACATATTTTCCTACACACAACTGGCTTCTGCATTTTGTTGTGTTTTGCCTTGTCAGGGTTGGTTTGAGGCCTTTCAGTTAAGAAAATTTATTTGAGAAGCCAGGGTAAGAAGCAGGCATTAATGCGTATCACATAAAATGCAAGACCTTTAGGAATTTTTCTTCTTGCAAGAGAATGATCTTAAAATATAAAACAAATTCTAAATGTATTCAAAAAAGTGCATTCTTAATTTTGAACGCACTTTATGTGCAAAATGTTAAGGATGTTGTAACAAATCCATGTCAGATTAGAAGTTCATGGTCCTTAATTCTAATACATGCCGTGATCCATCACTGTGAGAGGTAAAATTTTTTATTAAATTTGGTTAGGGTTTTTAAAAGGTAAACCAAATAAAGCATGTTTATATTTTGCATTTTGGCTAGGAAGAGGTTCACAGTACTGTGGCTCTGTGTTTTTTGCTGTGTACTAATCGTGTTGAAGTCGCTGCTGATCCAAAATAAATCTGGATTGGTATGGGAACAGCAAATAATCTGTACTGGTTTTTAAAGCCCACTGAGAACAATGAGTTTTACTCACACGCTGCGTTGCATTCTGTCCTTGGGCCAGCTATGGAAGTGAGAGTCATGCATGTGAAACCTCTGTGCATGTTAGTCTTTTATAGCACCCATCTAGCATTAATGCCCAAGTCCTACTTAGGAAATGAACTGGTGGAGTGCATGTCCTCGTTTAAACCTTCACGTGCTTCAAGGGCATTCCTGGCCAAAAGCCTCAAGAGCTTTCTCCTCTGGATGGTAGGTCGTGGGGATTTCTGTAGGAGCAGCAGCAGAGTTGTCATGAGACCATCACAGCAACATGTGACATGACTAGCTACTCATGCTTTTTGCCAGCGGTGCTGTGCCCGCTAAGACCAAGTCAAAATCTGAAGCTTCTCTCTTAACTTCTCCCCTCCCAAAGGCCAGGAAGGAAAAGACCAGGGTGACTCATTTGTTACACTGGTTTCTGCCACCAAGATGTCCACAGCAGAAAACAGAAATGGCAAAGCCAGTTTCTTACGTGGAAAACTCCTGCAAGTTTGCCCTGTGGCCAAAACAGAGTTGACAAAACTCCCACCACTGACCAGCTTAGCTACCACAAAATGTTTCTGTGCTGGACTGGTTAAGACACCAAATACCTTTGTTGTTATACCTCCAAATAAGTCTAGGTCCTTTCACTGGCTTCAGTCATGTTTGAGTGGTTTTGAGACACTATTGCATGTCTTCCAGGTAGCTTTGTGGATCTTTCAGGGACCTCGTGTGGCTCCTGGTGTATTTGAGGGATGGCTACTGTAGACACCTGGGAGGTCTGTCCTTCCTAGGTCTCAGATCCCTTGTATTCTCCTTCCTCTTTCTGAATCTACTTATAAGCCTGAGGAAACATATTCCCTCCTGGAGGGACCTACACGTTTTTGGCATCTAGACTGGGTGCCACTGAAATAAATTAAGACAGCTTGTGGTTTTGGTCCAGAATGGTGGAAATCTTAACAAAACTCAACTTGAGAGCACTCTGTCAATTTGGGGAGGACAAAGGTTGTCTTGTAGCTCTGATTTATTTTCGAATCCAAATCCGTGGTCCTTTGCTGCAGATTTGCTGGAAGGAGTAAAGGAGCAGTGTCCTTTGGTAGCTGTGTCTGTTCTCACTAACACGGCACAAGTGTACAAATCCCCTAACCCAGTTAGGCCACACCAGCCACATTGTCCCCATTTACCCATATAAAAGCGTCGGTGCATATGGAGCATGATCTCCTCTTCAGTCAGCCCTTCGAGGTGAGCACTGTGGACATTGAGTGGGGGGAGACAGCTGGAAATCAGGAGGTAAAATTAACGAAGCAGCTTATGCTTTTGGCATGGTTTAGATGGTGGTGGCTACTCGTGATTAGCAGACCTCAACCGCCGCATCGTTTCCGCTCTGCTGGAGGTTGTGTTTCTTTGCTGCCTGCTGCAGCCAGTATTGATATGGTCTCATGAAACGTGCAGTGCCCAAAAGGAGACTGGGACAGCTCACTGTTTTCTCATTTTACACAGCCTTTGTCAGTTTTTCCACTGATTTAATACCTGTGATGGAGACATTCACTTGGAAGTTTCATCTTTGCCTCAGAAACATCTGCTCACCAGTGTCCTTTGCTATGACTGATGCACTTCTCTTGTACTGGTTTAATAATTTTTACAGTCTGCCATCACTCACGTAAAGTAGATACCTCCGGCACTTGCGTTTGAACTGAGACTAATGCACTTGCTGTTTGCTGTTAATCTAGCGACTAGGAATTTTTTGTTCTCTACAGATGAATAAATGCAATCTGCCAGATTCCCTCCTGCTGTCACAGGGATATATTCTTTCTTAGTGTTGCTTTTTGCTTGTGGAGAAAGGCAGGCAGCTTACTGTACACTGCCTGCCTCCTCCTGAGTGTCTTCTCCCACAAAATCTCATATCTCCACCCAAGTGTTTTCTTCCCAAAAGTCACGTATCAAAAATTTCCACTGGATGGGATTCAGAGACGGTGTAAAATGATGGTTGAAGTTGGTTTTCTGTCAGTGTGAGACAGTGGATTCCCATAGTTTTAAAATGCTAAAATAAAGCAGAAACAAGTAAAATGAAAAGGCTTATTTAAAATATTCTACTTTGGCATTTAGTGATTAAAAGAGATAGAAAGCTAATGTACAATGAAATAAAAGGCAAAATTCCAAAATTCAGAGCTGAATTTGCGATTTCAACGTGACATTTCAAAATTTCCAGATGAATATGCAGTTCCTTTTTACCCTGAGAATAGCAACAACCGTCAAAATGTTGACATTCTTCACAAAACAGTAATTCCGAGTTCGAACCATCACTAGCTGTGTACCAGCTCTGACTCTGTCATTGCTTCTAGGTGGATTAAATAAAATGCTGTTCCTTCTGTTAAAAGGAGGAGGAGGGGAAGAAG